TTTACAGCGCCCGGAACACGGAAGACCTTTTTTAAGCATGACAAATCCAGAACTAAGAAGGAAAAACAGGGTAAGTGTGCCCACATGAAACGTTAACCTTCTCTATGGAAAAACCAGAGAGAGAATAAAAAGCACAAAACAAGCTGAGAAGAACAACAAACTGGATAAAAACACTTTGGAAAGACAAAGGACCAAGGTTTGTTCTTTAGCAAGCTCTCAGATCAAGGAGAAAAAGGCAACCTAAAAGAAGCATGGGCAAAGGTGGTGGAAATTGACATTAAATACACATGAAAAATACTAACACTCATTATAAAGAAAGATAAAAAGAAAGGCAATAACTTTTCTACCTATCAAATCAACATGGAGAAGAAATACGCTAGGACCGAGGCAGTTGGCGAGGGTGGAGGGAGGGCTTTCTGACATGCTGGTGGGTTGTGAATGAGTCCCTTTTTGGAAAGCAAACATGGTCACGGAAGTCCAGAGCAGAGGGTTTTCTTTATCACAGTGATTCCCAATGCCAGGGAATCCACCCTGCACACCAGCTTCCTCAGTGTGGAAAGATCTAAGCCACTACTGTTGATTCCCGCATTTTCTCTGGTTCTACAAAGCTGGTGAAAACTTGGATGTCCATCTAGTGGATTCAGTCATGTAAGTCCCAGCCAAGGCTGAGGTTGACGTGTGCACACTGATGCTGGCAAGAGGTCTACTGCACGCCAGCAGGTGAGGGCAGGGGGATGGCGGCCGCACAGCACGCCAGGGAGCCAGAAAGGACTAACAATCAATGAGAAAGTGAGGACTTTTTGTTTTGTTTCTGAGCTACTTCAAATTTGTAACAATATACCATTATATAAAAACAGAACAAACAACCCACTAGGTATTGCGTACTTTTGGGTTAGCAAGTTGGCTCTGTGGGCTAAGGCACTTGTCACTGAGCCTAAGCGCTGACTTTGACCCCTGACTCCCATGATGGAAGGAGAGCACTGAGCCCTGCAAGCTGTTTCTACCTCCATGTGTGTGACATGGCATAAATACACACACACACACACACACACACACACACACACACACACACAAAATACATGTGAAAAAAGTAAATTAACTCAATCATGCTCATTTGTGCTCTAGTTATGTGGGAGAAGGAGCTACAGGGGTAACAAGAAAAAAAAAGGCTTAGGACCACCAGCCCCAGTAGTGAATGTGGCCCAAAGGGGCCTCCCTCCTGTCCCACGCAGGCTAGGGAGCAAAACCAGACAAAACACAGCCACTGTAGAACCTTTGCCCCCTCAGGACAATACAGCTGGGAATTTGAATTGGAGCCCAACTTGTCCACCATATCAAAATACATCTAAGGTCCAGACAACAGCACAGATAATCCCAAAGCACAGGACAGTATCCACTTAGCTATATAGCTCATGTGCATTTCACAATTTTGTTTGAATATAGACACAAAGGACATTGATTCTGCTCGACAAGCATGTCCCCCAAAGCTCCAGAGTTAGTGCAAAGAAGAATAAAGGAAGTGACTGATGCTGTGAGGGAGGGGAAGGCAACTGGAGGCAGCTGGTCCATCCACTCTGAGAACAGTGTAGAGAGACAGCCCCATAAGAGCTGGCACCAGGCAACAGCAACATTTACCGTTTCCCAGTCTCTCAACTCTTTCCCTACCTTTATGAAAACTGGTAGCTTTGAGCTCTGTGCTGTCTCTTGCTGCTCCGTAATTATCACACCATCTCTCCAAAGTGAGGAGTCAGTTAGGGTTGGGTACACGCTGCAGTGTTAAATGGTCCTTTCACAGAGTTTTATTTATTTGAGGGTTACTCATCCACAAACCACCAAATGCCTCAGACTTCCCAGCAAATTCGCCTACAAACCAAACCTTAACTATTTCTTGCATATTGGTTCTACTTAGTGGTTCAGAATTTTGGGTCAATCAAGCTACTCAAAAACAGTCATGAGAAAAGCCAGCCTAGGGTTATGATAATCCAACCAAAAACAACCAAAGGCTGTCGTTATTTTTCTCTGTGTGTTTATATTGGTTTTGTTTGCTTGTTGTCCACCTTATAGCGGTATAGAGTTAGCTGTTGGGGCAAATGCCCACAGTCCTAGCATTTGGCAGGAAGAGGGGGTGGGGAAAGGAGGAGGGACAGGAGAGGGAGGGAAGAGCGGGCAGAGAAGCTTAACCTACAGATGAGCCAAGCTAATCTGCAGACAGACAGATACAGAATCGCTATCCTTGCTGGAGGATACAGAAGAGCATGACATCAGAGAATGGAAACAAGCCGGGCGGTGGTGGCGCACGCCTTTAGTCCCAGCACTCGGGAGGCTGAGGCAAGTGGATCTCTGGGAGTTCAAGGCCAGCCGGGTCTAGAGAGTGAGTTCCAGGACAGCCAGGATTAATACACAGAGAAGTCCTGTCTCAAAAAAAACAAAACAAAAGACTAGAAAGCTCAAAGTGTGAACATTTTTCTCTATTTATGCCTCAGAGATTTCCATGTGCTTACATGACTATGTGTTTTCAAGTCTGCGCTCTGTGACTTCCGAGCAATTACTTCACATCTGTGAGTTCCAGTTTCCTCACAGGTCTAATTTTCCTCCTTTGTAGAGTCGCTGCAAAGATTATTAAGGTGCAGCAACAATCTACAGAAAGAATCTAGTACATTGGCTGGCTCAGAGAAAGCCATCCGTAAGTGAGAACAATTAACACTATTCTTCTGAATGCTAAACCTGGAAGCTAGTGGAGCAGGCTGGGGTCCATGAGTGGAGAGCGCAAAGTTAGGCTTACATGTGCAAGCCTGACGACCTGAGTTTAATCCCTGGAACCCACTGTGGAAGGAGAGAAGTGACTCCAGAAAGTTGTCCGCTGACTTGCACAAGTGCCTGAGCAGGGGTTGGGGAGGGGCACATAAGTACACACACACACACACACACACACACACACACACACACACACACACACACAGATTAAAATAGAGTAAAAATAAACTCTTTGCCGTGTTTGCCAGCGAGAATACACTACAGCTGTGGTGACTCTTAGAAGTCCAGCACAGTTGTTGAGGAAACAGGCTCTAGAATGCACTTACACATATCTGAGCAAGTTGTTCAGTTCTTAGAGATGCCCTTGCTTGGGCTGAGACAGCAACAACAGTCCTTCAACGAACCTCGTAGGACTCTCGTGAAGGCTAAAGGAAATGGGCTAACTCATCTGGCGGCAGTATAAACACCAAACACTCGCTGTTCCTGGCCCCGGCCCCCTTTAGCTACTAAAAGAAGTCTAAATACAGTTTTCGTGTGTGTGTGTGTGTGTGTGTGTGTGTGTGTACATATATATTCCTCAATAGCATGAAGGGCCTAGTACCATTAATAAACAGTAATTAATAGTCCTACTGGCTGTAGTTTTGAAAAGCAAGTTCTGGTTACTGAACACTATTCCAGCAATAGGGACAGACATAGAGTGAAAAGTGCACTTACTCATCTCTAATCCCCCAGGGCCCACGTCCACCTTCCAGGGGAGAAAGCACTGAATTGGGCCTCTGTATATACTGTCCCCCAGCAGACATGTGAGGTGGGTAAGGAGGGCTAGCATTTTGATGAGATGGGATTGTATCATACACATCATTTGTTCATTCAACAATCAATCCCAGTCTCTTTCCCTATCAACACATAGACACGTTATCATTTATTGGTCCACTTTACAGAGGCATTTTGCTTACATTTTGTTTTTTACTATCAAAAAATAATCCTTGTTTCAACAAGGGCATTCACTGTTTCTGTTGGATAGCTTCCAAGAGAGATCTGCTGAGTCAAAAGCGCTACAGAGCTCACCTGTTACTAAGTATGGCTGAATTGTCCTCTAACAAGGACATGGACTACACCGTCCTTACTTACTGTACACTCTACCAGTGATCACCTCTAAAACAGGAACAAAAGCACACTGTCATGTAGGGGAAAAAATCGCAATTATTTCCATGTTGGAAAGTGGCCCACATTTTCATGTGTGCACATGTATATGATGTGTATGTGTGCGTATGGGTATATACGGGCATGTTCCTATGTGTAAGAGTGAACAAGCACATACCACAGCACATGTGTGGAGGTCAGACCCCAGTCTTAACTATTGGTCTTCACCTTCCTTCTTGTTTAAGACCAGGTCTCTTTTTTGTTGTTTGCTGGCTACGCCAGGCCAGCTGGCCCCACAGCATCTGGATCTGCTGTCTCTATCTCCTCTCTTGCCCCAGGAGCACTGGGGTTACAAATGTGCGCGACTGTGTTCAGCTTTTACACGGGTTCTGGGGATTTGAACTCAGGTTCTCACAATGGCACAACAAGTGTTTTATCCACTGAGCCATCTCCTCAGCCCATGGCCCCATTTTCAAAGGAGGGCAAGACCACAGTTCCAACCCCAACTTTACCCTTCTCAGCACCTGAGGCCCTACACTACTTCTAAACTAGCGTCAGGACTTCCTCTGCAGTGACCTGGACTGTATCAAAACCAGTTATCTAGCACATCCCAGCCCTGTCCATAAAACCAGCTCAATGGAGAGCAGGAGGATTCAGGACAAAGTGGCCCCTGCCATCATCTAGAGGGAGGCCGAACCCCACTGAACCAGAATCATTCTACACACTGCTCGGGAGCTTTACTCTGCTATGTCCTAAAGCACTAAAGAATTAAAACCTCTTAATCAACAATCATCGGTCTACAGGTACTTTACACGTTTCATTTTGCCCTGCACTATTATAACAACGAGAAGAGCAGATAAAGGTCATGTTGGTAATTAAAGCTATATTGTAGAGATATGCACACCCAAGATATGATTAAATAAGAAAATATTACTCGGTTCAGTATCATCATTAAACTTGCATTAATTTATAAATATTTAAATGTACCATATGATGATCATAAATAATCTGTTTTTGTCAGTTTTGAAAATAATGCAACCCATAAAGCATGTGAAATATCACTGCAGAAGAAAGGATGAGGAGCGTGCACAAGCCAGACTCACATTCAAAGGCTGTCGTTGTTGCTTCAGGCAGAACCTGGCCTATCACATCCTAAACAAAGAAAGAAGAAAGAAGCACAATTAGTCATCTTCTTTATTGCCAACATGTGGCAAGTCCAGGAGAAAACAGGGAAACCTGGGAAGGATTTTTGAAATGCTAGCATAAACTACAGAAACATGAGCTTATAATCACACTTACCCAGAAAGTTTAAATCTCTATTCCAAGGAGAAAAGGGTTAGAAACTCTTCATATTGTATTAAAGACAATCTTTTACTCTCAATTCAACAATGCACAGCACTACATTATCACACTATCACACACACACACACACACACACACACACACACACACACACACACACGCACACACACACACTCACAGAGGCAGGGGAGAAAGAGGCTTAATAGTTAGACCACCTTAGGTTTCGGTCCTTACTATTAAATGTACAACCTGGGAAATATTTTTACTTAACCACCCTGACCCTCATTCTGATTATTTCCAAAATGGATCCAATGACACCAAAAGGGTAATGTGAGAACTAAATAATGTACTAAACATGAGCTTGACACATGGTACCTTGTAGACAATCAATGTGCTCCCTGATCTCTGAAGACCACACGGTGCCTTGCTCTCATAGCGGTAGTTTTAGCAAACAAGTTCTATGACGCTATGCAGTCAAGGGTAATAAGAATTCTCATCAACCTTTACTCCTAAGCAATGGAAACATACTCAATGTTGCTGGGATACAAGTTAATTTAGGGGGGAAGGAGCCCTGGAAGGTGTATATAATCTGTTATTAATATGTAAATGAGTTTCTAAAAGTTGAAAATACTAAAAAAATTAGTCTGCAGGGGCAGCTAAATCGAAGAGGCACAGAACACCTAAGTCTGGGAAGAGAGGCCCTCCATCATGTCCAATCCCATTGCAAAAGCCTTGTAGACCTCATTTCTCTCCAGAAGCTCTGCTGCAATGGCCCTCCCATGCCAAAGCTGTGCCAGAACTAGCACCAGGCAGCCAGCTGACAAAGGCAGTGGCGGCTGGCAGTGTTTCTCAGCAGGGAGCCCACGGTCCTTCCAAAGCAGGGCACTTAGCAGAGTGGAGTCTGCAACTTCCTTGGAAAGGCAATTCTTCAGGAGCGTTTGCTGCAGTGCCAATTTGCATAATCATCTTGGTGCTTCTTTTTCCTCTTCCTTTCTTTGTTTTTTTTTGTTTGTTTGTTTTTGTTGTTTTTGTTGTTTGTTTGTTTGTTTGTTTTTCAAAAAATAAATCTGTGCACAGAAAACCTGATCGGGTAGAACAACCATCCTGGGTAGCCCCTATTCATCAGTCAAAAAGAGGTGATGTTTTCCCTGGCTCTAATCTTGGCAAATGAAACATCAACTCTGTGAGGAAGTGAGGAAACCAATTTTAGGGTAGGAAATTCTTTCTCCACATTCACAGGTAGCAGGCATCTCTGAACTGGGAGCCAGCTATACACTGACTAGAGAATTAAGTACCCAGGCAGTCCAGAGGGAAGGACGGAAGTCTGCACACAGCCAGAGGGACACAGTCAGACCAACTCCCCAGCCCCACTACTGGCCATTTTTAAGCAGGCCACATTTGATGGTTTCACATTCATTTCCAGTTCACTTTAAGAGCTTGTTTTGCACTTGCTTCCAAGAGAATTTCTGCTGTCTCCAAAGACGTTTTCAAAAGAAAATTTAAATTGACACATCTTGACAGTGATCATTTCTCTTGATTTTCCTTCCTTCCTCTCGATAGTCAGACAACTATGTAACAGAAGAGAAGACGTCTCTACAGCATGCCAGGAGCTCTGTAGGTAAGGGCGGGTTAAAACTCGGCTGCTGACTTCAGCAAGACTATAATTTGTTCTCTGAAGTAAGATGGGCAACAGAAAGCACTTCTCGAAACAAAAAGAGCCAAATGAAAGATGTTAATAGCAAACAGTGTTTGTTCGCTGTGACCGTTAATATTGCCTGTCAATCAGACAGGACCTGACTCACTTAAGAGACAAACCTCTGGGCACATCTGTGAGGGACTTTCCATACTGTGTTAACTGAGGTGGGAAGGCACACCTTAAACATGGATGGCACCATTCCATGGACATGGGCTGAGCAGCACTCCTTGTCCTAGGCCTCTTGACTGCGGATGCAATGTGACCAGCAGCCTCCTGTTCCCCCTGCTCTGCCTTCCCGGCCAAACCCTCAGACTGTGAGCAAAAATAAAACCTTTCTTCCCTAAGTGGCTTCTGTTAGGAATCTTGTCACAAGGAAAATACCTGACACTCAAGAGGAAGGAAGAATCGCGGGTTCAGTTTGGACAGAGATATCACAAATGGGGAACAACCGGAAGTGGGACTTCAAGACAGGATACAAAGAGAAAGCGAAGGCTGACTATCCCCTCCCTCACACTAATCAACCCAGCCCTACACAAAATTCCTAGAACTGGAGACTGTCTCCAAGGATGAGGAGAAAGGAGACTGAAGAACAACAGAGCCCAGTG